GCCCTGCCTCAGAAAATAAGTAAATAAATAAATAAATAGATGAAGAACTGTCATACATATGGTTCAGCAATCCCATTTCTTGGGATATACCAAAGGAAATGACATTAGTATGTTAAAGAGCTATCTGCAGATAAACATATAGATTAGATACTGTGATATCTGTTATTGGCTACGAAGTGGTTAATCCTGGAGGACATTTATGCTAAGTGAAATGAACCAGGCAGAGAAAGACAAATACTGCATTACCTCACCTATAAGCAGTACTTTTTCCAAAGTCAAAGCTCATAAAAGCAGAGTGGAGAATACCAGTTGCCAGGACCAGTGCAGAAAGCAGGGATGAGGAAATGTTCAAAAGGTACAAAGTCTCAGCGTGAATAAATTCTGAATATCCAGTGCATGGATAGGACTCCAGTTCATGATAAAGTATTATGTACTTAGAAATTGTTATGAGAGATCTTTAAGACATCACCATACAAAAAGATAATCATGTAGAGTGATGAAAATTGTTTAAATGGTACATTTTATGTTATGTATAATTTACTACAATTTAAAAAATCAATTGTATTTTCATACACTAGCAACAACCAACTGGAAAATACAGCGATACTTTGAAAATCATTTTTAAAAAATCATTTCCAATAGCATCACAAAAACAAATACCGAACAATAAACTTAAAGTAGTAACTGTAAAACACACTGAAAACTTTAAAACAGCAGAGAAATTAGAGATGATATAAATGAAAAGATAAGCCAAATTCTTGAATTGAATAACAATATCAAAATTATGATTTTCCATAAGACATGATTTTTGGGTAAAACTGCAAAAATTGATTCTAAAATTTATTTTGAAATGTAAAGGATCTAGAACAAGCAAGACAATCTTAAAAAAGAAGAATAAGCTATGGAGGAACAAGAAAACAGCCTGTTGCTAGACACAGGTGCAAGTCTCTCGGTCCTTCTTTTCAATCCTGGCCTTCCTTCCAGCCATCATACCTCAGTGAAAGGAGTCACTGGTGAGGAGGTAATATGCTATTTTTGACAACCCTTAGGCTGTAACTACTTAATAGGTCCCTCTTGCATATCTCTGTCTTCCTGAGAAACCACTCTGAAGATACCACCATGTATTACAGCAGCCATTGATATTTTCCTACTAATCTATCCATAACTGTGTAAAGTTTGTAATGTTCCTATCCTATTTCATAAATGGATGTATGTTTATTATTATGTGTTTCCTACAACAACCATTGAGAATAGTTAATGATTTTTCAATAGGTCACTCATGTATAGCTCTATTTATTTTCCTTAGAAGCCACTTTGAAGATACCAAAGTATAGTACAACAACTCTTGATAATCTCCTACCTCTTTTGTCTGTAACTCACTATTATTTGTCTATTTGTTTTCCTGAGAAACTATTTTGTAGACAATAATATGTAAAATGATAACCATTGATAATTTCCTACCATTTTGTGTGTAATTTGCTAAGTCCCCCCTATTATTATGTTATCCTTCTTTTATTCTTTAAAATAAAATAAAAAATTAAAAAAAAAAAAAAAAAAAGAAGAAGGTTGAAGAGCCTGCCCTCCCTAATCTCGAGATTTACTGTAAAGCTACAGTAATCAGGACAGCGTAGTGTTTATTAGGATAAACAAGTAGATCACGAGACATGATAGAACCTAGAATAAGGCACACATTTATGGCCAACTGATTTCAGGCAAGGGTGCCAATATCATTTAGCGTGAGAAACGGAAGTCTTTGCAACAAAGAACTCTAGGATAACTGAATACCCACATGGATAAAGGTGAATACCGAAGCTGGCTGTGGAAGTGCAGGCCTGTGGTCTCAGGTACACTCGAGGTTGAAGCAGGATAGAAAATTTGAGGCCTTCCTGGGCAATTTAGGGGGACCATTTCAAATCTTTAAAAACTAAATTTAAAAAGACTGAGCATGTATAGGTCAGCTCTCCCTGAGTTCCATCCCCACTACTGAAAAAAGTTCATATTGATTCTCGCATCACACATAAAAATAAATTAAGTCAAGGAAAGATGGAGAAATACAAAAGCTAAAACTATACAGTTTCTAGAAAAGAATTAGGAGGAAAGTGATATACACAGATATGAGAAACCAATCCCTCCATGGGGCTACCCGCCATGGTCAGGAAAGGAGAGGTGGGGCTGGGGATTTAGCTCAGCGGTACAGCGCCTGCCTGGCAAGCACAAGGTCGTGAGTTCGGTTCCCGGTACCGGAAAAAACAAACAAACAAACAAAAAACAAAAAAGAAAGGAGAAGAGCACAGGCCCTTTGCGTGAGGATGGGCCGGGCCAGCAGGCCTCCCTCAGCCTCCACTGTGATTACAAGAGGCTCGCAACCAGTCAAACTCTCCTCAGACCCTCTGAGATCTAAGGAGTGTTTATCTCTAGATGTTGTTTCATCTCTTTTCTTAAACTTGGAGGGATCTTTCGGGAGGGGATATATTTTGTGGTGAAGAATGTATATGACATTCAAGAATTTCCTCAGTTTTTACTTCAAATTCATTTTCTTCAATTAGAGTCAAGTAAAATTAAATCTTCACTAAAAAAAAAAAAAAACAGGCATATGGTACCATCCCATTTTTATGACAGTATTTCTATCTTCCCTTCTCTCTGTAAAAATGCACAGAAATATGTCTCGCATGCTGGACCAGAAATGTTAATGACGGCTATATTTGAATTATGAAATTGAGGTGATACTTTTATTTTCTTTGGTACTTTTCTGCAATGCTTAAGCTGTTTATAGGGAGCATATGCTATTTTCACAGAAAGAATAAAGTAATTTTTCTTAAAAAAACAAAACCTGACATCTTGTCAAGAGCCCTGCAAGGGTACAGCTTTCACTTCCACTGTCTTCCTCCAGCTCCCCAGGTGCTGCCACCTTCCCCTCCCCCGTTTCCACCCCCTCCTCCTTCCCCTGCTCTCTCCAGGCCTAGCCACTCTCCCCCGGTTGAGAACGCCATCTCTCACCCCTGCCTGGCCCACTGAACCAGGGGTGGTGGGTCCTCTTCTTTTTCTGTAGCAGTTGGGCTGGGACATTTTCTGAGGGCTGTGAGGTACGCGGCACTTCCACCCCGCTCCCCATAACTCCTTGCATCAGCAGAGAAGGCGAGAGTGGTGGAGAGGAACAGTCCAGTAGCAAGGCGCCCTGGCCCAGGGCTGCTCCGGGACAGCAGTCACACATGGAATTCTGGGGGATGGAAGAACTTGGACCTCATCCTGATCCCTAGTGGTCCCCAGCGCTTTTGCCCAGGACATCACCCACTTTCTCTTGGGTGCTGAGGTTCTGTCTCAAGGACCTGTTCAGCTGGGGAAAGGCACCCTTCCACAGAGCTGCCCTTGTGACAGGATTATTCCCCTCCTCCCTGTGCCAGGACTGGGGAGCCAGAAGACAGAAGCCTGAACCTACCCCCTTGCAAGCCCCTGGGACCCATGGTTTGGTAAGAGCCAGGCCCTCACAGATAGGCTGAAGGCTGCCCTGCGATTTTCACAGGGCCGATGTGAGGGACAGATGAGAGGGTGGAAGTGGGGCTAGGAAGGTCTTTAGTCAAAGCCCCAGGAGGAAAACCCACTTCTCAGGGTAAACTCTGGCTACTCAGGCAAAGCACAGAGTAGTCAAAATCATGAAAAACCAAGTCACCATGATGGACGGCTGTAGGTGAGATCTCAAAGCTTGGCATTCCTGGTCCTTGGTCCCCAGAAGTAGGGATTTCCTTTGAGGACATCAGAACCAGCATGAGCAAGGACCCCATGCCATTATCCCTGTCCCAGGCAAGCCACCAAGACTGGGAGGAGCGGGGCTGGGGATTTAGCTCAGCGGCAAAAGCGCCTGCCTGGCAAGCGCAAGGTCGTGAGTTCGGTTCCTGGTACCGGAGAAAAAACCAAAAAAAAAAAAAAAAAAGCCTGGGAGGAGGACTTGGGGTGGGAGCCAGTGGGGCCCGGTCTTTGTCATACAGGGTGAGGACTGAGAGTTGGAGAGTGAAGGCCAAGGCAGTGCCGCCCGCCGCACTATAAGGGCGAGGGAGGGATGGTCACGTAACGTGAGGGTGGGGGCCATGGAAGCCATGCCCACAAGTGTGGAGGCAGAGGGAAAGGGGTAGGGCAGGCAGACAGGAGGGCTGGTCCTTGGGAAGTCTCTGCCCACTTCCCTTACCCTTCTCCCGGCCCCCAGATCTCTGGCTCTTCCCTACGTGGTGGCAGGGATGGAGGCAGATTCTTCACCAGTGGCTTCCATACCTTTGTATCTGTGAACCACGTTCATTACTACTTAAGTCATGAAAAGAATGATTTCTTTTTGGATATAAGAGAATCAGAACCCCATCTTGGCTTCTCCAGGGGTAATCAGCCCCTAGTCTAGATCCACAGGAAGACCCAGAAAAGGCCATGCTGGAAGCGGGGGGGCCAGGGCTACCTGTGCTATGGGCATCATTATTGTGGTGTCCAGACCCAGGGAACTGCATCCAGGTCTGGTTATGCAGAGCTGGCATCAGCTAGCATGGATTCTTCGCCACATGTAAGATGAAAATCTTGAGCCTGCTCTTGAGCCTGCTGACAACCATCAGCATCCTCGACCCGCTTCTCCAGAGCTTTCTGAAGGAAAGGGTCCACATCGGGGCTTTCAAAATGTTACCAGTCATCTGACAGTTCTTGCTCAATTCATATACAAATCATGAGCGGGTGAAGGCTAGCTCTTTCAGTGTTACATGGTAGCCAGTGGCTATCCTTCATCGGTCTGGTGGCCCAGCTGGCCACTCAGAGCCAGCGGCCCACCAGCAAGCATCAGGAACCCTTCTGGCCACTAGAGACGGCAGCCTCCAGAAACCCTCCGTCACTCTGCCATTCTCTGCTGCTAGCCGCCCTCAGTGCTGCCCTAGGCACCAGCAGCCTTTGGTCTTACCAGTTCCTAGTTCACCCGCTCATCCTGCTCTACTCAAGAGAGAAATCACAAATATTCAAAACTATGGCACTGGAAGAGGCTTTATTGGAACTTGTGCTGCAGCAGCAGGTAGAAGAGCAGACGGACTGTACCTCTAAGGCTTATGTAGGGAAAAACCGGCAGGTCGTATGTGCAGTGCTAGACGTGCTGTTTGGTCATGAGAAAGGGAGGAGCCCCTGCAGGACGTAGGGGAGAGGGCTACGGACAGCCAGATCACCCAGAGAAGGTGCAGGGTGGAGTCCCCGGGGCTTTCTCCCACCGAAGCAAATGTCTCCCGGAGAAGCCCTTGGCACCCAGGTTGCGATGCATTGCTGCTGCTGTTGGTGTCGGCGTCTTTAGTGCGTGTCTGTGATACAATACAGGGATGCCCACTTTGCAGAACGCACATACAACATATCCTGACCGTTTCCCATCCCATTTCCCTCTCCTGCTCTGGCCTGCATTCCCGTCCCCAACAGCTACCTTCTAGTTTCCTATCGTCTCTCCCACTCACAGCATTTGGGGCAACCACAGAGGAGGAAGGAAAAGTAGCTCTTAGGGAGCGTGGGGGTCCTCTCCTGTCTCTGGGCCAAGAAGCTGGAATACAGACCACTCCCCGGGCAGTGCCAACCTTGGCAGAGAAAACAGAGGATGCCCAGATAAACAAAATCCTTTAGTGTACGTGTGGGGCAGAGGTAATAAAAAGTGCTCACTGTCTATGAACTTTGTAGTTAACTGAGCAGCCCCCATTTTATCTGTCCTGCTTACATCCCAGGTGCTGGCAGAGGAGAAACTCTTCTGCAATTGGTTTTCTTTTTTCCATTTTTCCGTTTCCACATTTTAAATTGTTAACCCCAATTTTCACAGCCTCATCATTTGCAGAAGCAAATGAAAACAGCAAGCGTCCCTGGCCTGCCCGCCACCCACCGCAGGACCCTGAGGCTCTCGCTGCCACAGCCCCTCCTGGTGCTGTCTTAGTCCTCTGGTTCAGGGCCCACTGTCCTCCAGGCCACATGATGGCAGCCGTGGGCCGGGAGCCATGAGGCCGCGGCTGGGCCCTGGCGCCCTCTGCCGGTGAGGTCCAGATAACAGACAGGGGAGAGGCCCAAAGACTGGGCTCTGGGGCTGGTCCACACTTCTGTGTCCTCCTGGCCTCATCCGCTGTCCTCCTCAGGAGCTCTGCCTGGTTTTGTGTGCGCCACGTGAGCAGATGATGAGCGGCCCCATGCCCCGCCTGGTTGTGCGCTGACCAACAGCTCCTCCAAATGCGAGGCAGCCAGCCGTGAGAAAGTGTGCCACTCCCTGGGATCACGGTCACCCCACACCATGTGGCAGGCAGAGCCTCTGCGAAACCCCTCCCTTGGACTGGCAGAGGAACCCGGCCACGTAAACCTCCTGCCCTCACCCCAGAGGTGTCTTGGCCAGGCTGCAGGGACCCTGCTATGGTTTAATCTAAAAGGTCCCCCAGACCTCAAGTCAGAGGTGGGCGCGGGGAAGGGGGCGGCCCCTGGGGCTGCGCTCGGGGTGGGCGCGCCTGTCCCGTGTCCCCTTCTCTCCTGGCTTCCTGCCTGCCAGGGCCTCAGTGGTTCCTTCCCGTGCGGATCTGCCTGGAGCCAGCTAACCAAGGGCTGAAGCCTGTGAAAACCACAGGCCAAAAGAAACTCTCCTTGAATTTCCAGGTGTCACGCGTTTGGTCCCAGTTGCAAGACTCTGCCTGACACAGGCTCCCTTTAAGGGAGGGCGGTTCACCCGTTTTACATCGCCCCCCAGGCAAGGGGAGGTCTGTCTCAGAGGCGTCAGCACCAGGCGATGAGCAGCGCCCATCAACAGTAGCAGAATCAAGGTGGAGGGGCTGAGGGGGCCACGAGGGGCTTCCCTGGGTCAAGGGAAAAGAGAATGTTTTTAAAATAAAGACACTTTATTTACAGATAATACAAAATAAACCACAAGACGAACTACTTTGCAGAGGGAGGAATGACCCCCACAGTAACCACCCTTCCCGTCCCAGAGTAACTCATATAAAAAATTTAAAAGGCCCGAGGAGCGGGGGAGGGACAGGGCTGGAAGCACCTTTGCTGACTGGGGATCAGGGCCCACGCTCTTCAACCACCCCTTTCCAGAGCACAGGGACCCTGGCTCTTCCCCTCTGACCCCCAGGCCTAGCAAGCAGGGGTTACAGCTGGCGGGGTAAGGACAGCGGCTCCCCAGCTAAGGACCTGACTGCTGACTTGGAAGGGGCAGGTGGGCGGGTGGGTACGACCTTGAGGGCAGGCGTGGGGTCGTGTTATTGCAGTGCTCCAGCCGACTTCCTCCCGGCCGTGGACTTGGGTCTGCGCCGGTTTCCAGGGAGCAGCCGCGTCAGGGCAGGAATGCGGTGTCTTCAAAGCGACGATGTCGTTGAGTCCACCACTTCTCGGCCATTGCAGACCGTGGGGACAAACTGGGAGCCAGATCCTAGGGAAGGGAAGCCGGAGGTCAGGGCTGACCCGCGGTCCTCCGTGGGAGGCGGGCAGTAGGGGAAGGAGGACTGTGGAGGGAAGTGCTTCCCCCTGTGCCCCCTGGTCAGATCCAGGGACATTCCGAGGACACCTCACCCCAGACAAGGAACCTCAGCCACCTGAGGAGAGGGCCAGGCCTGGCAACCTGGAACGGACGGGCTCCCAGGCAGTGGTGTGCCGAGGGTGCTGACCTTGGCCAAGACTGGAGCTGGCCCTGGTGGCGGCACTGCCAAAGCGGCTGGTGGGTGCCCGGTGGCTCACCACATTCTTCTGCGGCTGGAAGAGGATGATGTGCAGCTTCGGCGCGAAGAGGCAGCCCAGCACCACGGAGCCGCTGAGACTGACCGACACGCACATGGTGGTGGTCTGAACCTGCAGGGGGCGAGTGCGTGTTTATCCCAAAGGCCTGGCCCCGCCACCAAGGCCCCCTTCCCGGGCTGTAGGGAAGAGAATTCCTCATCCACTGGGCCTTGGTCCGTTTGCCAAGCCCCAAAGGATTCCTAGAAGGATGGGCACAGTCCCAGCGTCAGCCCCGATGGACTGTTTTCCCAGGGACACCAAAGTTCCAGCTGCGGAAGTGCACGTGCGGGGGTGCGTGTAAGCACAGGGGTGTGTGCGTGTGTAAGGGGTACAGGCATGGAGCACACGCATGTAGATGCACGCATGTCTGTGTGGGTGCATCTGTGTGTAACGGAGCATGCAGACAGGTGTGCAAGTGTCTGGAGAGAGGTGTGGGATGTAGGGACATGGATGTACACATAGGCAGGAGATGTGTTTGTACCAAGTATGCTGGAATGTGTGCTGCGCACACGTGTGCATGCGGGGACCTGCCTGTCTACACATGTATAGGTGTATGTTTGTGCCCAAGTGTGTACCTGCGTGTATGGTTAAACACTGCGTGTGTGGGCCACGGGTGAGTCCTTAGCTGTCTGTGACTGGTAAGGAAATGTAAATCATATGCAAATGCGGACTGAGTCAGAGCAGATTCCCTCTCCAGCCCTGGCCTCCACCACCCGAGCAGGTGGCCCAGCAGGTGCCAGCGGAGCAGCTAAGCGTGGTGATCCCTGGCTCATCAGCGCCTTGCCACCTCTGTCCCGGGAAAAGGGTCTTTGCCAGGGCCTTTCCACGATTTTTCTGCTCCTTCAAGTGTTAGGGCTGTCAGCTCCATCTTCCTCTGCGGGACCAAGCTGAGTGGCCTTGAGCCCGGGACTGCCCGTCCTGTTTCTTCATCAGTAAAAGGGGAGAGCGGTGGAGCTCACTCCAGAGAACGCGGATTAACCCAGACGACCCTCATCATTCCAAGCTCAGCTTAACAGCGCCCTCCTCAGAGAGGCCTCTCCTGGACACCCCGTCCGAAGTAGCCATTGCCCCTTGCAGCTGAGGACCCCCGCTGACACACCCAGCGCCCGCTTTCGCCTGGAAGCAACTGGCTGAGCACAGTGTTCACCGCTGTGGCCTTCCTCACACCTGCACCCGCATTTCCTCGCCCTGCTCCGCTCCACCTTTCATCTGTCCACTTCCTCTCCCGCCAGCTGCTCAGCGGAGCAACGCAAGGCCCCCGTCCGCTGGGACACACTGCTGCACTCCCGTTTCCTCCCAGACGCAGGGGTGACATCTAAGTCCCGACATTCCTCTTATCTCTCTCTAACTTGGGCTCCCCTGTCCCCGGGCATTGCCCCAAGCCCTGCTCAGCGCTCTCAGCTTCCCCCAGGGTGCACACAAGCTGTGAGTCCAAGTGAGCATTTAACCTCTGAGAGCATCAGCTATGGATGGGTGAAGTGCGACACCCGGACAGCAAGGGTCCAGGCCCCGCCTCCCTGCTCTGCGGCCGGTGGCTTACCCGGTAGTCACTGGAGGTGACGTAGAAGATGGGCAGGAAGGCCAACCAGATGATGCAGGTGGTGTACATGGTGAAGCCGATGAACTTGGCCTCGTTGAAGTTCTCGGGGCACTTGCGGGTCTTGAAGGCGTACAGCGTGCAGAGCGCGATGAGGAGCACGTTGTAGGCCAGCGAACCGAGCATGCTCGCGTCGCGGTGGTTGCAGCGCAGCGTCACCACCTCCCGCCGTTCAGGAGCCGTCTCCTTGCCGGTGCCCGGCGCCTCCACCACCAGCCAGGCAGCCACGATGAGCAGCTGGCCCGAGATAAGTGCCAGGCAGATAGCCACCTGCGAGGCAGGGCTGATGAAGCGCGGCCGCTGGGCCCCCTCCCGGGCGCCGCCGAAGATGCGCGCGATGCGGTTGGTCTTGGTGAGCAGGGCTGAGTAGCAGACGGAGAAGGCAGTGCCCAAACCGAGGCGCCGTAAGGTGCACACGGCCGTGGACGGCTTGGCGATGAAGATGAACGTCATGCAGTAGCAGAGGAAAACACCAGCCAGCAGGATGTAGCAGAGCTCCCGGCCAGAGGCCTTCACCACAGGCGTGGCATTGTGCCTCACAAAGACACCCAGCACAAAGAGGGTGGCCAGGGCACCCAGGCAGGCAATGGTGACAGGCCCCACGGCCCAGGCGTCGCCCCAACGGATGTACTCCTGCGGCAGCTCAAAGCAGCCAGTCAGGCTGGCGTTGGGCCAGTAGCCCAGCCCGCAGTCGGCACAGGTGAACTCGTCCAGCCTGTACTCGTAGGGCTGGCAGGGGATGCAGAGCCAGCAGCACACCTCACCCGGCTGCACGCTCTTCACCTCGTTCTGGAGGCAGGGCTCGCTGCAGCGGGAGGCAGGCAGGGCACCGGCCGCGGGGGTGGCCCAGGGGATGAGGCTGGTGTCCAGGCTCAGGCCTTCTGCCCAGTAGCCCACCTTCTGGTAGCGGTAGCGCCCACTGCCCGCCCGCAGGTAGGTGAAGATGTTGTAGCGGCCAATGCCATCGCCAAAGCGGTCGAAGCGCACCTCGTTGTCCGTGTCGGCGGGGCGGAAGGGGGCTGGGGTGGAGAGGGAGGGGAGAAAGGTGGGAGCAGCGGGTCACCCTGACGTGACCGCGACCCTCACGCTCACACAGAGCCACGGCCGCCGCCAGCTCCTCTAACCTCCCCCCAAGCCAGCGCCCATCCTGACCCCAGCCTGCCTTCCCTTCCCTTCCTTCCTTGCTTTTCTGTCTTCTTTCCTTTTCTCTCCCATCCTTGCTTTCACTCATCTCTTTTTTAGCAAGTATTGGGGAATCAAACCCAGAGTGCTGGAGCTACGGCCCCAGCTCCTTTATTTTGAGGGAGGGTCTTGCTAAATTGCCCAGATGGGACTCAGACTAGCCATCCTCCTGCTTCTGCTTCCCTCACTGCTGGAATTCCAGGCACGGGCCAATAGTGGCCAAAAGTGGCCCAGCTCTGGCCATTTTTCTAAAAGTGAAGTTACAACAAATTTTTACTCCTAAACTCCAAGATCAGCCCCAGCCTAAGCCTCCAATGTAACCCAGCCTTGAAGTCGAGGCCTGTACCAATCCCCAACCATGACCCACCAAACTCAAGCTTACCTAGTCTCTGACACGGTCTAACCCAGCCCCAGACCCTCACGTTATCACAGCACACACCTCAGCCCGCTCTGCAGACCTGACGTCCTACTACTGTACTTCTACCGACAGCGACCCCGGCCCTAGCCACCACCAGCCCTAACCTAATCCCTGCAGTACTCACCGGCAACCGCGGCCTTCCACGGAGTGGTCACAGCCACTCCCCACCCCAACTCCATCGCTGGCAAACCCACACCGCCCGGCCAGGCTCAGCAGCCAGGACTACAGCCACGTCCAGTCCCGGTGAGAGCTCAGGGTCAGGCAGGAGATGACACTAAGGCTCCATGGGGGAGGGAGCACCCTGGACTCCAACCCAAGTCCCACCAAAGCCCCTGTTACTCCCACCCAGCCTCAAAGTTCTCAATGTCGAACTCGAGCCCAACCCTAAACTCTCCCTAAGCCCAGCCCTAGCATCAATTTAATCACACCTCAGACTCAAACCCTAACCCCCACGCTGGTTCTCTAGCTCTGAGTGCCAATCTTACTGGAATTGCAGTCAGCACAGGTTCCACAGCTTCAGTCGGCTCAACTCCGAATCCAGTGTTTTCTTCAGTTTAGGGTCTAGCCACGTAGTTCAGACTGTGCTTTAACTCACTACGCTGGCCTAGAACTGACAACCCACCTGCCTCAGCCTCCTGAGTGCTGGGAATACTGGTGTGCACCACCATGCCCAGTCAAAAACATTGTTTAAAAAATTATTTAGACTGCAGTGCTTGGATCTATACCTAACATGCACAGACTTATTTTCTTGTCATTATTCCCCGAACAATACAATGCAGCAACTATTTACAAAGCGCTTACATTGTATTAGATACAATAATCTAGAGATGATTTAAAGTATATGGGAAGACAGGAGAAGGATATATGCAAATAAGCCATTCATATAGGGGATGAGCCTCCTCAAACTGTATCCATGGGGGCCCTAGAAACAATCTCCATGGATACTGAGGACAACAGTCCTGTTGGTCCCACCCTGTGCCAGGGCTTCCAGGCTCTGCCGGTCAGGCAGCCTCCCCCACTGCCCCGCAAGTCTTGCTGAAGCTAATGATGATTCTGAAACACTTATTCTTAAGATGGACAGTTTAACTTTTGATTTGAGGGTAGTATGGATGGAAAATCAGGGGCAGATTTTCCCTAAGCAGCGTTTCATCTGACGCTGGCCCTCAGCTCACCCTGATTGGGACTCCTGCTGCCTGAGAACAGGCCTGTGACCCCTGGCCTCTGCTCTCAGCAAGAGGAGTCAGGAGAAAGAGGGCCAGGCCCAAGGAACCAGAAACCCCAGCAGCAAGACCAGGCCAGACACTACCCTCTGGAAGGGGCTCAGGAAGCAGAACCGCAGGCCAGGAGTCTGCTCTGCCTAACAGTCCCTGTCCTGGCTCTGACACCAACACCCCGCTGGAGTCCTTTACTTGTGCTATGTTCCACTTCTCACCCAAGGAATGGAACGTGAAGGCCTGCCCCCCTATCTCGGAGGGCCAGCGGCTGGCGGACACCGCCCAGCTCTATTACCGTCAAACTTGACGTTGAGCACGAAGTCCTTGTAGAGGCGGCGCCCGTTGACAGGTCGCATGGCATCGCAGAGGCGGGTGGTGTTCGGGCAGAGGGTATGGTGCATGTTGTGCAGTGCATGGGCCATGGCATACACTGCATTGACCACAAACACGATCTTGGACTCCTGCTCAAAGGGCACGGCCTGCAGGGAGTGGGCAGCACAGTCTCGCTGCCGGAAGCTGCAGCGGAATCTCTGCTCCCAGAACTCACGGAACCAGGGGTTCCGGCTGTTGTTCCAGGGGTCCAAGCTCCGGAAGTAGGAGGCAAAGTCGCCGATGGGGTAGGAGGCCAGCTCAATGGTGATGGCACCCTCGGCTGCCCCCTCGCTGCCTTCCACAACGCTCTCCAGGGCCCCCCAGCCGTCACTGGCCACCCAGGTGAAGCTGGCGTTGAGGCGCTGGCTGGCAGCAAGCAGCTCACGGGCATCCTCAGAGCGGGTAAAGAGGACGGCAACACGGGCACTGGGTTTCTGCAGCAGGGCTCGCACCACCCCCTCGAAGGCAGCACGGCTCATGGCGCGGCCCACCTTCTCCGAGGTGGCCACGCAGATGTTGCGGGCACGGGCCTCCATCTCAAAGGCTTCGATCCCCGTCTCGCCGTAGTCACCCTCAGAAGCCACAGTGGACACGTAGGTCCAGTTGAAGAAGCGGAGGATCTCGGCCATGGCCTTGGCCTGGAAGAAGTCCGGGGGCACCGTGCGGGCAAAGTAGTCGTAGCGAGACTTGTCGCTCAGCTTGGCACTGGTGGAGGCGTAGCTGATCTGTGGGATCTGAAACAGCCGCAGAAGGTTGGCCACCTGGTGGGGGAGTGGGTAGAGAGGGCAAAGGTCAGAGAGCAGGTCAAACAGTCGCGACAGACAGCTCAGCCTCCCACCTCCAGCAAAGCTGGGGATCGAGTGTCCACAGGTGCCCCGTCCCTCTCTACAGGCCCTCATCTGCTCTTGTGCAGTCTCTTCCCGAGAGCTGAGGCCGCAAGAACAGCACCACGCCCTGAGGTCCTGAACCAGACGCACGGCAGGGGAGCCAGGCAAGGCCTGGGCCGGACGGAAGCTGCCCTTGGCTGCACCGGGGGCAGAGGAAGCTCTCGGTGGTGTCTGGGGTGCCAAGGCTCTCACGTTCTGACCCTGCTTGGACGTGGGAAACACTTCTCAGCATCCGTCCTGATGGAATGAGGGGAAAGAGGGAAAAGGCTCCCAGGAAGAAAGACACAGACCCAGAAACCCAGAGGAAGGAGCTGGGCAAGAGCTGGGACCCAGTCACGGAGCCAGAGAGTCCCTCCCGAGCCAAGGCACTGAGCCGTGCCCAAGGTGCAAACAGCTGGTGAACAGCAAAGGGAAGCAGGCTGGGCCAGCGTCTGCTGGAGCGCGGCAACAGGACCCTCTGCTGACCCCTTGTGGGGGAGGTGGGGATTCACTCGTGCCCTCAAATCCTACAGCCCCTGAAGACCCTGGGGAGCTTCCCCCCAACCCTAGGCACGTTCTGCTTCTTTTCCTCTTGGGTCCTCCACCTCGGTCTTCTCTGGCCATCCCTGGCTTCTATTTGTCCACCCATCTCCAATCCAGGGAGAGACAGTCAGACAGGCTGGGCTGAGAGTTCTGACTTCAGGTCTCCCCTTTGTCACCATGGTGACTTGCGATCTGCTTTTCTCTGAGCCCCAATCTCCTCATCTATAGAATGGGTTAGTAACGCAGCAGCTAATACTGAGCGTGCATTATGACCTGCCAGGCCCTCTGATACGTGCTTTGAATGTATTCTCATTAAATTTTCACTACAAACCCCAATTTTATAAAATGGGATAAAATTGAATCCCATTTTATGAGGAAATAATCTGCCCAGAGTCATGCAGTTAGTACATGGGGGAGCAGGATCCACACCCACAGGCTGAGCGTAGAAGCCTGGCTGTTAAGCCTTTCAGGTTAACACCAGGGCGCGCGTGCATGTGTGTGTGTGTGTGCGTGTGTCAGGAGTGCGATGTTTCTTGTTTGCTGTTTTCCTACATGAGTTTCTCCTACACGACCTCTAGAAATCACTGGGTGACAGGGCATTTTCTTCTTCTTCTGTAAAAAGGCACTGAAAGGAAGCTGTCGGTCGGTCCCCTTTCTGTGCATGGTACCTGGAGCCCCGCACAGCACGAGCTCTGGGGCACCACCCTGGCCTCTGTCCCCAGAGCCCTTCTGAGCGGCTTCCACGTACCTGGATGGAGACGTCACTGTAGGAGCCACCGATGACACCAGTGATAGCGGTGGGAGCATCGCCCTGGGTAGCGTAAGACCCGTCAGGGCAGACGTGGCGTGAGCCGTCAGCACCCCGACTGAGCGAGGCGCGCACAAAGTCCAGCGCCTGCTCCAGGGCGTGTGTGTCCTTGGAGCAGCTGTCCAGGATGTGTGCACCTAGGCGCACGCCAGGCAGCAGGTGAGGGTCTTGGTTGATGCGGTCCAGCGCGAAAAGCATGGCTTCCAGGCGCTGGATGCCCCGGTGCTCATTGACGGGACCGCAGTCCTCTGCGGGGCCACCCTTCTGGTGCACCGGGAACAGCCCACCCAGTACCAGGTCACCCTCCAGGGTCAGCACCTTCTTGGCCGGGCCCTCAGCCACAGCGCCCCGCAGCAGCAGCAGCAGGAGCCCAAGCAGCGATCCCATGGCCCCAAGGGGGATAGACGGGTCCAGCAGACCTGGGTCTCCAGGGGATGAGGGCAGAAGCAGTGAAGGCAGAAAGAAAAGGGAGCAGGGACCAGGAAAGGACAGGCAGGAGGAGAGATGAGAAAGCAGCCGGCTCCTGCAGAGACAGACAGGGAAAGTGGGACCTGAGAGCAGCCGCCCCCCCATGTTCCCCTTCTGACTTCCCCTTCAGAAGCTTCCCCTTCTGACTCCACCTCTCCCCACACACCTTTCCCAGGTGCCCAGGAGCCATGCAGAGGGGAGTATCACTCTGCTGAGAAGTTCCTGGGACTCGCTCCTCTGGCTCTCAGCCCCGCCCTTATCGGGGTGGAGATGGGCCCTACGCATCCACCAAGCTCAGCAGAGGGGAGGGAGGCAGGGAGTGGAAGCCCGGCAGAGGACAGGAGACTCCAGCAATGCCAAGCCCAGGGAAAGCTGAAGGGTGTCCAAGACCCTGCGCAAACCTCACAGAACCCCGGGCCTATACCTGAAGCAGAAGCCACGTCGGAGTTACAAACTCCGAGTTCTAGTCCCCATCCCGAGCCCCGGATCTCAGAGAGGAAGCACGGCTGTCGGGGTGTTTGCCGGAGAAGAGGAGGAGTCCATAGAGGACCGTCTCCAGCCGTGGAGCCCGAAGCCCAGCCAAACACCCAAAGGCCTTGCAAGCCCTCGCGTTCCTGAAAGCCGTCTCCGGAGTCTCCTGTGAAGGGACCCTGAAGCAGCAAGCCAAGGAGGCTGGCCCCAAGGAAGGCCCCCGTGGCTACAGGCTCTAAGTCAGCAGGGAAAGCAAGTGTGAACACACACGTGTCGTGGGTGGGGACACGTCCTGGGCTGGAACCCTCCAACACGGCTGAGGGTGTGCTCTGGCCGCCCCAGCTCTGAAGTGCAGTGGGAGACTTTGAGCTGTTTCCTCCTCACTCCAAACGGCAGGGCAAGTCACTGTCTCTGGACTCCTCATCCTCAGCCTCAGGGCCCTGTCCATCCTGACCCTGGCCCTCCGCCCCGCCTTCACTCTGCACCTGATCATCTGGACCTCAGCTGCTTCCCAAACATCCACGCCACACACGCTCTGACAGCCACGCAGCTGAGAAAAGCTGGAAGGAGGAGGTACATCTTCCCTCAGAGCAGGAAAGGAAACTGAGGCGGAAGGGGACAGCGGAGAGTCCAAGGACCCCGTGTCCCGGCCACAGAGAGATGGGGCTGCTGGCTTCCCCCTCAGCTGCCCAGACCTCCCGCTGGCGCCTGGGCAGGGACCCCGGGGTCCTGTAGAAAGCCGAGCGCGGTGTCTAACGGGAGAGAGCGGCGGGGCTGAGACCAGCGCAGGTGGGGCAGGGACCCAGGTGAGGCAAGCGCGGGGGAGGCCCCGAGGGAAGCTCCGCTGCCCGACCAGGACAGAAGCCCGGCGGGCAGCCAGGGTGCAGGGCCACGAAATGTGGTCGGGGCAAGCAAGCCGGGGCGGCTGAGACAAAGACGGAGGCACAGGCAGAAGGACCCGAGGACGCCGGAGCGCGATGCAGGGCGTGCGCTCTCCGGGGAGAGCAAGGCGGGACGCCCCGGGCTGTCTTCCCGCTTCCCCGAGCTCCCGGAGCCGTCCGGACGCCCCGGCCTGGGTGCCCCGGGACTCGAGGGCCTGCGGGGACCCGGGACGTGGGGCCAGGGCCAGGAGGGCCGGCAGCGGCCGCGGCCCCAGGGCTCACCCTACCTGGCAGCTCCAGCACGGAGAAATCGAGCGGAGCAGGAGGGGCGCGGGCGCCCGGCGCTCTCTGGCTGGCTGGCCGGCTCTGAGCC